ATCAGTCAAGTCCAAATATCCATGCCACAAAGAAGAAAAGTATATGATGAATGTGATAGGTAGCATTCCACATCAAAAATTCTGTTTTTATCATTTACCTACTCGAGGACGAGCAGGAATTAAGCTTGAGGATGCTTGATATGTCTCCAACGTATCTATAATTTTTTATTGTTCCATGTTATTATAGTATCAATCTTGGATGTTTTATGTGAATTTACAAGAAATTGTATATCATTTTTTGGGACTAACCTATTAACATAGTGACCAGTGCCTGTTTTTTTGCCTACTTTTGGTTTTCATAATATCAGTACCAAATGAAGTCCAAATGCCACAAAACTTTCTGGAGATTTTTTTCTGAACATAAGAGACCCTGGAAGCTTCAGAAGGGAATGAGAAGATGGAGCAATGGCCCATGAGGCACCAGGGCGCGCCCATAGGGTAGGGCGTGCCTTGGTGGCTCCATTTTGACCTAACTCCACCTCTATAAATTCTCTAAAATCGGGAAACCAACAGAGAGCTAGCCAAAATACTTTTTCCTACGCCGCAAGTTCCGGAACCATGAGATACCATCTGAGGGCCTTTTCTGTCACTCTACCGGAGGGGATTCGATCACGGAGGGGCTCTACATCAACCTTGTTGCCCTTCCGATGATGTGTGAGTAGTTTACCACAGACCTACTGGTCCATAGTTAGTAGTTGGATCTCTCTCTATCTCCCTCTCTCTCTCTTTGATCTTCAATACAATGTTCTCCTTGATGTTCTTGGAGTTCTATCCGATGTAATCACTTTTTCTGGTGTGTTTGTTGGGATCCAATGAATTGTGAGTTTATTGTCAAATTATCCATGAATATTATTTGAGTTTTCTCCAAACTCTTTTATGCATGATTGTAATAGCTTCATATTTCTCTCCGATCTATTGATTGGTTTGGCCAACTAGATTGATTTATCTTGCAATGGGAGAGGTGCTTTGTAATGGGTTCGATCGTGCCATGCTCAATCCTAGTGACAGAAAGGGACATGACATGTATTTGTACCGTTGTCATTAAGGATAAAAAGATTGGGTTTATTCATGGGTGAGTTTACTTTGTCTACATCGTGTCATCTTGCTTAAGGTGTTACTCCGTTCTTTATGAACTTAATACTCTAGATGCATGCTGGATAGCGGTCGATGTGTGGAGTAATAGTAGTAGATGCAGGAAGGAGTCGGTCTACTTGTCTCAGACGTGATGCCTATATACATAATCATTGCCTTGGATAGCATCATGGTTATTTGCTTTCTATCAATTGCCCAATAGTAATTTGTTTACCCACCATATGCTCTTTTCAAGAGAGAAGCCTCTAGTGAAAACTATGGCCCCGGGTCTACTTCTATCATATATCAAAAATCCTAAAAATACCTTGCTGCACTTTTACTTTATTTAATTTTGTATTTTTGTTCAATCTATCTATCAATTACTACACAATTTAATCTTGCACGTAACCGCCGAGGGATTTACAACCTCTTGTTGGCATTGGGTTGGAAGGATTTGTTGTTTGTGTGAAGGTGCTGCTAACGAGGTGTTGCGTGGTTCTCCTACTGGATTGATAACCTTGGTTCTTAACTGAGGGAAATACTTATCTCTAATGTATTGCATCATTCTCTCCTCTTTGGGGAAATCCCAACGCAGTTCACATGTAGCAATGGCTAACCAAGAAAAAACTTTGCCCTCTTCCAGACGACCTATTTCATTGAAGTGGGTGTAGCAACATGGAATTGAGCCTTGTATGCCGACTTGGCCAAGGAGGTGTCGCTTGTTGCAAAATTCCAAGAAAAATGACATCCCCCACATCATCGTTGAGCTGGACCTATGAGAGGATGCTCGAGAGCTCAAGGTACTCGAGAAGATGGTCCAAGAAAAAAATTCCCAGTCAACTTGATTTGTATTATCCATGCATTCTCAGCAAGGGCTTGGTGAACCATCCACTTCTTTCTCTTTAAGGCCTCATGGACAAGGGGGGCTGTCTTTGGGACTCCTCCCATCCATCCATGGCTCGTTCTAGGAAGGCGCCTTGGCCCAATTGTCTATGGTGATTCAGGTGCATGCGTAGAAAATCTCCATGTCCAGGGCATCAAAAGGGTTACCCATGCCAACCCAAAACTTGGTCAGATTGGCCCACTCAAGCCATATTCAGCGCAACTGCAATTCCCTCATAAATTTCTCGAGATGGAGAATACCAAGGCTCCCAAGGTGGGTGGGGTGGCACAAAGTTTAGTGCAAGGTGAGGACAAACTTGACCAAAGTAGTTCGACCAATCATAATGATATTCTTCCCCTGCCATGGAGGGAGCTTTGCCGCAATTTATCCTCGAGCAGTTCGGAGTGCACTTTCTTGAGTTCCCACATAGAGAGTGGTAGGCCAAGATATGTGATCGGGAAAGAAGTTCGCATGGTCAGCAAGTTTTGTAGGGTCTCATCAAGGTTGAGGTCGCCGCATCAAATAGGTACCACATAGCTCTTTGAAAAGTTGGTGGAAAGACCAGTCACCTCACAAAAAAAGTTCAAAATGGCTGCTAGATTTTGGACGTCCTGCTTGATTGTGGCAACAAAGATAGCAGTGTCGACAACATAAAGTAGGTGCAGAAGGTGGCTCCTATTCTGCTAATCTTGTGCAGAAGGTTGTGCAGAATATGAAAATGTTGGTGCAAAGAGAAAAAGAAGAAGATCAAAGCCATGTTTCCAACACATAAGGGCATCTCCAACACAGATCCAGAAACCAAACACCACATCTTTCTGCCAACCGGGGGGTGGAGTTCGTCGACACTGATGAGGGAGCTGGCCATCCAACTGTAGCTGCTTACATTTTGGAAGAAATTTAACGAAAGTGAACAAATCTGATGCATATTTAAACAAATGAGGCGATAATCATTCGTACTTGGATAAATTTACATAAAACCAGATGGTTTTCACCTAAACCAGAGCAAATTAAATACATTTCGACATATTTCAACTAAACCATGCTCTAAACCTAGTCTAAATGATCGTTGTTGCCCGTTCCCCATGTTTAGAAGGCCATAAGCCCCGGGAACTGAAGCTCCACCTCCGCAGTCTGCAAGCGGCTAATCGACCGACGATGATGAGCCCTCCAAGCTTGGTTGAACGGGAGAGGAGGAGTGGTGACCTTCCTAGGACCCGAGCATCGGCGACCTCCCATATTGTACTCTTCCTTGCTGCTGGCGACACCCGTGTAGGTGTCGGCTTTGTGGTCGTGGAGGCAAGGTGCGACCGTGGCGGTGCTGGCGACCTTGTCATCTCTCTTGCCACACACTTTATCCGCCGCCTCGAGCGGTAGGAGTCGAGCAGTGCCTCCTGCTCGGCCACATTCACGTCGGGTATGATGGTCGTGCCGGCGGCGAGTTGCTCCTCCGTGCGTCAATGCTCGTCGAGGAGGCGAAGGTTGTACTCTTGGTCGGCCTGCGCCTGCCGTAACACGGCCTCCCGCTCTGCCAACACCATGTCGGTGTAGTGAGCACATGCCTCATCCATGGTGATGCCGGCATGGGACGACGAGGATGGTGGCACTGGCTCGGCGGCGGCCACCTCTTCCTTTGGGGTCTCTGCACCGCTGGCCTCCGGTGAGCTCGTTCGTCTGTCGGCTGGCCAGCCGGCGGCAATGTCGGTGATCTCCTTCTTCTGCTCGGACGAGAGGCTGCCCCAAAGGGCTTTGGATCACGAGGAGGCCATGGCGGGCGTGGTGCCGAGAGGAGAAAGGGAGCGGAGGAGGTTGGATGAGGCACTCGTCGGCCCTGGAGTTTAAATAGTGGGCGTATGGCAGGGCAAGCGACGAGGTGGTTAATGGTGGGCAGCAAATAGATGGACAAGAGGCGCGGGGGCAGGTTCCTCGACAACCCACATGTTTAATGTAGGGAGGCGGACCGATGAGATGTCGATTGAACATGGAGCAGTCGCGTGCACCAGGAAGCGGCGCGGGCAACGCTGTCGGCCGGCGAGCGCTTCAATACCAGAGTGACGTGAAAGGTCGCGTCCGCTCTGGGCGGGAATGACTGCGGTTCTGACGCTCTGGAGCGGCGCTGACCAGT